GGTGGATGTAGGTGATGTAATGAAATTCAGCCTCTGGAAGTGACAGATGAAATCATTTGTCTGGGATCAAAAAATGCACAGAAAAGGAGACAAAGAGAACAGAAGAACACGAAGAGTTTCTTCAGCCATTGTGTCCATTGGCTTTGTAAGGAAAAAAAAAAGCCATCTAAAAATGTCAGCAGTTCCAAGTGGTGCAAATCAGCCTCTTTCCCAACTATTGTAACTGGAATGAGAGGAAGTTAGAGACAATGACAGAGGAAGGCTGGAGCCCAGGCAGAAAAGAGACAAGTGCTGATGTTAAAAGTATCACTGGAGCAGAGGGAATTCAAACTTGAAAGTGAAATCAGCAGGTGCAGCACTTACACTCTCTGGTTTTGTCAGGCTGTAGAAAATAACCTTGAGAGAGAAGAACTGTGAGGGGCTGGTGGTGAGTCACCAGCAGGGAGGTGCTGAGAGCAGCACAGGGCTGGAGTTACTTGCTGGGGGCTCAGAAACCCAGGCCAGAGCCTGGGAGAACATCCAAAACCTGGCTGCAGCCTTGGAGAGGGCAAGAGTCGTGGGGCTTTCTCATATTTTTGGTGGCCAGATGAACTCCTCCCTGCCCAGGAAAGCCTTGGCTGGCTTGGTAAGCAGCAGTCCTGAAATATGCTTCAACAAACCACTCTGATAATTCATTTTCTATTGGTGATGTTCAGTACTTGCTTTGATCTTCTATCCCAGCCCTGCTCCTGCTGCTCCACGAGGGCCACGTTGATGGATCTGGTGCTGTGAAGCTGATGCTCAGTGAAGCCCAGCAGGACACAAACCACAGCCTTGCTTCTCACATCCTCTGCGACCAAAGGTGGGTTTGATTTCAGTTTCTGCTGTTGTGCTCAGCCCTTCTAGCCCTGAGCAGCCCCTCATCCTCCCCCTTAGAGAACTGACCTCACAGCTCTCTGAGAACGTGCCCTCCTTGCCAAGAGGCCAGGGCCATCCTGGGGGGCATTAAGAAGAGCGTGGCCAGCAGGTCAGGGAGGTTCTCTTCCCCCTTTCTGCCCTGGGGAGGCCTCACCTGGAGCACGAGGTGCAGTTCTGGGCTCCCCAGTTCCTGAAGGACAAGGAGCTACTGGGGAGAGTCCAGCACAGGGCACTGAGATGCCAAAGGGACTGGAGCTTCTGCCTGTGAGAGCTGGGGCTGTTCAGCTGGAGAAAAGGAGGCTGAGGGGGGATCTGATCAGTGCTGGTCAATATCTACAGGGGTGTCAGGAGGATGGGCCAGACTCTGCTCAGGGGGGTCCAAGGACAGGACAAGGGGCAATGGGAACAAACTGGAGCACAGGAGGTTTCACCTGAGTATGAGAAACTCTTCTTGACTCTGAGGGTAACAGAGCCCTGGGACAGGCTGCCCAGGGAGGCTGTGCAGTCTCCATCCCTGGAGACATCCCAGACCCATCTGGCCATGCTCCTGTGGGATCTGCTCTAGGGGATCCTGCCCTAGCACAGGGGGGTTGGACTAGATGATCTCCAGAGCTCCCTTCCAACCCCCACCACCCTGTGACTCTGTGACTGTGATTCTGTGACCCTCCTGAAGGCCCAGGGATGAAGAGGCCACCCAACAGCACCATTTCCCACGGGTATTCCCACCTCCGGTGTGTGGCCGTTCCCCCCGCTGTCACTTTGCCACTGCCACATTCTCAGGCTGTTTTCCTGACCCAGGCATTTCTCTGCAGCTTCTCTGCAACTGTTGGTCACAACTTTGGATGCTTTTCTCTGCACCCAGATGCCCCGGAGCTCTGCTGCTGTTATTCAGCTTTGCCAAACGTGGACGTTTTTCATCCCGTTTTAGTCTCTGCAGCACATTTATCTGCCACTAAATCTCTTCTACAGTTTCCTGATGACCAAAAGCAGGGCAGCCTCTCAGGGTGGGGTGGTCTGGTGACTGCACGTGGAGAATTGAAATGAGCAGCACCAGATTACTCAGAAAACATTTCTATTTTCTCCGTATTCTTGGGCTGTTCCTGTTACCAGATGGTATCGGTGCTTGGGGCGTTGGGTCCTGAGGCTTCACAGAGGCAGTAACTGTCACTATCCAGGCTCTGTGGGTGACCAGTTGGACTTGATGATCCCAAAGGTCTCTTCCAGTTACAACAGTTCCATGATTCCTGTGATGAGAAAAGGAGGCCAAGTGGCACAGTGGAGCTCACACATCCAGCCCATGACTAAGCTGAGACTATAAAGCCCAGCTCCCTGGTGCCTGAGACCAGGGCCAAGGCTCTGTCCTCCTGGGAAAAGCAGGGGGGTGGTGGCAGAGCAGCTGCACCAGCTGCTGGTGCCCCTTCAGTGCAGAACTCGTCACACGTGGAGCTTATTTATAAACCAATCCTTTTTATTGAGGTTGCAAACAGGGATGGGACGCGGTGTCCTGGTGCCTCTCTGGGGGCCACGAGCTGTCCTGCTTTGGTGCTTCAGGACATCCCACCTGGCTGGGCAGGCAGCTGCTGGCCTGCACCAGTGCTCCCAGCATGGAGCTGGTCCCCAGGCTGGGGAGGGACACCCCTGGGGGCCACTGGCTGTCCCTGCCTGGGGGACAGGGACACCGAGCTCCAGGGACATGGGCTCCCCACTCCTTGACATCAGGGGACGTGGGGCCACCACTTGTGCACACCAAAAATAGCCCACCTTGTGCAAACCTCCCCCCCCCACAACTTTCACACCAACCACTTCCTCTGTGTTACTCGTCCAGCATGAAAATCAAATCTCACACAGGAAAGACACACAGATTTCACTCCTGTGGAACAATGTGCAGGTGAGTTTACACTCTCACACAGGTGGGGGCAGAGTTACACAGGAGGTGGGTGCTTCTTGGGCAGAGATGTTCCTCAGCACATCCTTCCTTGGTGTCCCTCCAGGGTGTGTGACCATCCTTGCAATGAAGCTGGACAACCCGTGGAACTCACTGCCAGAGGGACCAACCAGCTGGGGAAATGGCTGGCAGGAGGGATGGCTGCCAAGAACGTGACCAAACTTAGGCAAAGGTTTAGAAAAGACTGTTGCCAAGAGTTAGAGAGCACGTGAGACTTGAGGGAGGGAGGATAAAACACCATCGTGGTTTGATTTCAAACGTTGGGCCATCAAGGTGTTCCAGGGTTGTCCAGGTGAGGATCCCAACAGCAGAGTGAAGAGCACATCTGGTGAGGAGAAACCTGGAACCAAGGACACGATGGTGAATTGACCCTTGGATGCATTCACTGCAGGAGGTGAGTGTCATGGGGGCCCATCCCAGACCAAGCCTGGCACCTCTTTTTAACCCTTGGTAGGTACAAGCACTGTCCATATGGGTTAGAAGGGAAGGAGAGGGGGAAATATATTGTATATTAGAACAGAATAGTTCCCTTGGAATGTATAGATACATATTCTTGTAGTGCTGGGGTAACAGTTGGACTTGATCTTATGGGTCTTATCCAACCAGAATGATTCTGTGACTCTACATCTACATACATTTGTGCCTTTCTCTTTCCATTTTCTCCAGTACCAGTCTGTATTTCCCAGATGCATCCATACCAAGGCTTCACATTCCCCTTGGCCCCCAGGAGAAGAGCTTTGCCCCTGCTGAAGCTAAGGGGCATGGGGAGAGCTGGGAGCTGCTGAGCAGCAGAGGAGCTGGGCTCCTCCAGCCACAGATGGATCTGCAGGATTCCATCCTGGAGCCAGTTAGCAGGGCTGGGAATTCCCAGGCCAGCCCAGGCTTTCAGCTCTGGTTTTGGGCCAGATGAGCAGTTTAGCCCACGGGGTTGGGTCGTGGTGATGACACAGGCAGCAAGAGCCTCAGGATGTAGACATGGAAAAAAACCCAAACCCAGCACCTTCCCCACCTCACCTTGGGCTGCCAACAGGACGTGGCTGCTCTTCTACAGTTTCCTTCCTGCACAGGCAGCACTCGCTCATTTTAGGCTCCCTGGAAGGTCAGGGTGACACGTCTGGCTGGGAACCAGTTTGCTGCTTCTCAGGAAGAGTCCTACCCCCTCCTGCCTGGTCACTGCCACCACGGCAGGTCAAGTGATGGATCCCCTGGGTTGCTGGAAGGTGGTGTGAGGGGATCCAGGAGTGCACAACAAGGCTGATCTGCTTCTGCAGCAGCTCCAGGCCCTGTCCCAGCACCAGCCCCACATGGTGTCACCTCCCCTGGAGCAGGACTGGTCTGTGCTGGGGCAGCTGGGGCTGGGGGAGGTGAGACAGAGCAGACCCCCTGGGCAGCATCAAGCACCCGGGCATGTCATGGAGCCTCACAGGCATCTTTTACACCTCTGCTCCTGGAAGTGTCTCCACAAACAGGTGTGGGGGTCCCAGGAACAGATGAGGAATCCAACCGCTCGCAGTTCCAGGGGGTTTCTGGTTACTTTGGGAACATTTTGTAATTCCTGGGAAAACCTGTAATTAATGCCATGACTGCTCAGCAGGGAGGAGGCTCCAGTGCTTCATTTTCTGGATGTCAAGAAGTCCAAGTTCCCCATCAGGTGCCCAAGAGATGCTTCAGTACTGTGTCATGTCCTGCGTTATGCAGCCAGGCTGAGGGGCCAGCAAGCTGCTGGAAGGTGATCCATCCCTCACCCCAGGGGAAGTACCTGCCCAGTGACCACTTCTGAGGCTTTAAATCCACCTGGATCCCCAAGACAGCCAGGATGTCTATAGGATCATCACATCCATCAATAGAATCATCATATCCATCTTAACTGCAACCAGCTCCAGGGATGAAATGCTCCAAGGATTTAACAAGAGAGTGGGTTTGGGTCCCTGGAGCACAGGGCGTCCTCCAAACATCCCCTGCTTCCTGCTGCCATTCCTAAGGGCATCTGAGATGAGTTCCAAGTTGTGATTTAGTGCCCAGGGTACTCCAGGCAGCCACAAGAACTTTGCAGCTGGTGAAGAACTTCAGCCTTGCTGCAGTGCTGCTGCTGGAGCTCCCGTGCCACGGCCCCGCCGGGGGCTCCCTAAACACAGCTCCAGTTTCCCTCAAAACAAGCCCCTGATGCTGTGTGGAAAGCAGGGCTGTCCCTCCACCACCACCCCGTTCATGGCTCTCAGGCAGGAGAGCAGCTCCTCAGAGACCAAGGTTTGCTCCTGCCCATCACTGCCTGGCCCGGGTCCCCACGGGTTCCCCAGGAGGGCCCCGTGTGCCCCCCAGGCTGAGCCCAACGTGGGGCCCTGCCCGCTCTGGCTGCTGTTTAAGATGAGGTTGATCTTCTCCAGCAGGCCGACGTGGTGGCCCCCAGCCTCCCCCTCCCACAGGGGGGCCAGGGGGCTCGTGTAGTCTCTGAAGAAGACGCTGGTCTCTGGTTCTGGGGGGGCTGCAGGGGGCTGTGCCCGGTACAGGTCGGCAGCCACGTACCCCAGCAGGTTCCCGTTGGACACCTGAGGTTTGTAGTCACTGACCAGCTGAGGGGCCAGGATGGAGACAGGCTGTGGGCTTCCTGCACGCTCCCTGTCCTCAGGGAGCTCTCTGCTGGGCTTCCTTCTGGTGGGCACCTCCTCCTGCTCCTCACCTGCCGGCACCTCCTCGACTTCCGTCACCGTGGGGTCGCTGGTGTCCAGGAAGGGCTCCTGGAAACTGCTGCTCATGGAGTCACACTTCTCCTGGGGGAAAAACAGTAATGATGAACGTGGGAAGAAACTGCCAAATTTTACTGATGGGAGAGATCCCAAGGAGGAAATGGGGCAGTGATTTGTCTTCATCTCTTCCCACGTGTCTCATCTAATCCCCCCCCACGAAGGAGACCACAGCAAGGTGGACAAGAGAAGACAGGGAGCAGCTGTGCTTGTCCCCGTGCTGCTTCACACACATCAAGGGCATCATGAGCCAACTGTGGCCACTAGGTTGAGTCTGTACTGAAGCAAGGTTCAAGGATGTCAGCTAAGCTGGGCTCCCATGCACCATGCAGATGCCTGGGGAACGATTCCAGATCAGTTCCTGGCCGCTTAGAGCTTCATCCTCTTCCCATCCATGTTTCTCACAGCTCCAGAGTGAGCTTTAGTCTAAGGGAAGAGACTGGGAGATAATGGTGCTGTTACCTGGAGTGACTTGACCACGTTGCTGTTTTCCATGTGGGGAAAGTCTTCAAAGAGCCATTTTGGCAGCAGCACCACAGCTGTGGACTTGATTCTTCACCAAAGAGAAGAAAGACCCCCCCCAGAAATGTTAGTGTGCTTTACTGGTCACTTGTTCATGCAGGATGAACCTGTCCCCTGGCAGGAGGGGACACACAGAGCTCATCCATCCCTCAGCAGCACCAGCTTTGTCCCCTCTGGGTGGGTTTCCCTGTTCAAACTCCAGCTCTTCACCTTTTACCCTTACTCCTCTGCCTTTGGTTCTGGAAGCTCAATTATTACAGTTAAAACCTTCATGTAGAACTTGTCCTCAAGTGAAAATTGCTGCTAAACTTGGGGGGGGGGCGGGGAGGACCAAGCCATGTGGATGAGCCAGAAGAGGAGCATGTGTGCCCTGAGAGGATGAAACCAAACCCAGCAGAGACACAGGTGGGTTCTCCCACAGCCAAAGCTGCTGCAGGAATGGAAATCACCAACAAGAGAAGTTTGCAAAACTGGGAGAAACAAGTCCTAGGAGAAAGCTTCTCTCCAGAGCCTGGGGCTTTCCTCTCTCTACCCACCCCTTGTCCCTGGGTAATAATGTGTCATGTGCCCCCAGGTCTGGCCTTGGCAGAGGAGTGAGGGTTGCTTGGTTTGTTGGTCTCTGCCTCCCTGGGGAGCACAGAGGTGGCTTCTCACAGTGCCCTGTGGTGGATGGCAGAAGTTGCCTTCAATAAAAGCAGGTTCCTGGGGTTAATTGTAAGATATTCTGGAAGAAAAGCAGGAGTTGGAAATAAGGAAACCAAACTGTGAAGGAAGCAATACCTTTTTCTGGCTGACTTTTTAACCATCAGAAGGACAAAAGCAACTGACAACGTGAGTGCAGTGATGCCCAGTCCCAGGAAAACTCTGGAGTCACCGTCTGAAAAAGGACAGAGAGGGAAAAGGGTGGCCCTGCTCCAGGATCCCACCTGCCACCAGCCTGGCCAGGGCAGCTGGCAGTGTTTCACTTGCCCTTTGCCTCCTCAGTTGATGAAGCAAAGCCAGAAGAGAAGCAGAACCACAAGTGGTGCCACACCGGTGGTGTGACCAGAGCACGGGGGGTCCCTGCAACCTCTCACCTCCCCATCCCCAAGCCAAGGATATTGGTCACCCTCTTCACCCATTTCCAAGGCAGCCTCACCCCCCAGCAACACCAAGAGGAGTTCTTCAGCTGATGCTGGGTTTGCTTTTGGCTGAAGGACCACAAGGGGCCAGAGCTGGACCTTTCCCAGCAGATGTGCAAACCAGAGCCTCACCCAAAATGGTGGGAATTGCTTCAATGAGCCTCCAGTTTGAACTGCAGGGTTGAAATGGTTGACCACTGCTCTGCTGCACATTGACATTATCTTAGATTTTCCTGGTTCTCTTGTCTCCTTCTTATATTCCCTCCTTATATTCTCTCCTTATATTCTCTCCTTATATTCTCTCCTTATATTCCCTCCTTATATTCCCTCCTTATATTCTCTCCTTATATTCCCTCCTTATATTCTCTCCTTATATTCCCTCCTATATCATCTCCTCATTATACTCCAAGTGTCACCAGAAAGCAAAGCTTCAGGCCTTCATGATGTGGGTGCTGCTCATCTCCAGGAGCTCTGCAGCCCTTCCAGCCCTGTGGCTCATGTCCCCACCAAGGGAAAAGTTGCTTTTCTGGCCCTGACCAGTGTAAAGGAGCTAAAATTCCCACTGCTGGTCAAGGAGAAAGTCTGGCTTACCAAGTCTGAGCAACTACCTTCTTACCATGGGAGATCTCACTGTAGGTGCTGCCCAGGAGCAGGTCCTGTGAAGGGCCTGAAACAGAGAGAGGGGGGGAAAAGTGTCCTTAGCCTCATTTAGAGGACAACAGGGGACATAAAGCTATGGCTTCTTCTTCTTTGGTTCATATTTAGTAGAATATATGATGGTATAATGAGAAAAATTAAAGCCCTTGAAGTAATTAGTAGCTCCAGCCCCGGCTGGGCCCAACACAATCTCAGAGACCCAATTAAATGAGATGTTGCTGAGCTCCCATTACAAACCATCTCCCACACACATCACTCCCCTCCCAACCCTGCCAGCAGGACTGGGCCTTCCTGAGGAGCTGTGCATCTCTTTCCATGATTGTTAGCTGTTTATTTATCAGTTGTTATTTAAACCCACTGAGTTTTCTGGCAGTGTCTGGCTGTGTGGTGAGGGAAGCTCTGCAGCTGAAGGCCCTGCCATGGCAAGAAGCCCATTTCTGCTAAAATAAGCAGCACACACTGTCTTCCTGGCCAAATTCACCAATTCCCTTAGGCTTTCTTCTCCTTAACCAACCCATGACACTGTTGCTTCTACAGAAGTAAGGTTTGGGAGAGGCTCAAGCTGAATCAGGAATATGAAGAGCTGGGTTCAGCCCATGGGGTCGAGCTGGAGGACTTTCCCAGAGGTGTGAGCCATGGGTTGTGCTGCTGCTTTGGCAGCAAAGCTCCTCACAGCCACCAGTTCTCTTCTGCCTCGTGGTGGAACCTCCCCCATCAACCCCCAAGCTCTGTTAAAAGGGTCTGTGCACCCACTAAGTCCCTGTTTTTAAGGCTTTAACACATTTCTCAGCTGTTTGTTGGTGCAGAAGTTGGAGCATCCTCCTTGTGAAGGTCAGGAGCCTGGAAATTCATGTCACCAGAGCTGGAGTTGCCCAAAGCCCCACCTGCCCAGTGCCTCAGGCTTTCAGGGTGTCTGTGAGGATAACACCAAGCAGCCAGGGCTGGAGCAGGGAACACCCATACTGAACCCATCAGGAATATTTGCTTCCACTTCTTGGGGAAGAAAAATATTGAATAACTGCCCTTCTGAAAGCCATGAGGGTGCCAAGGAGAAACACTGATCTGGTTTAGCACAGGACAAGTATCTGAGCAGTTTGAAAGAACCCATCTAAAATGCAGAAGAGGTGGCTGCCCCATCCCTGGCAGTGTTGAAGGGCAGGTTGGATGGGGCTTGGAGCAGCCTGGGCTGGTGGGAGGTGTCCCTGCCCATGCAGGGGGGGGGACTGGATGATATTTAAGGTCCCTATGAACCCAAACCAGTCTGGGATGTGATGATCTGATGGGCTGGTGAAGTGATGACCTCCCCAGGTGGTACTACTGCCTGCAGCTCCAGCCAGTTCTGTCAGGGCTCTAACAGGTCTTGATGGCCCTGATCAGCCTCACCTGGAGCTTCCACCCACTCCCTTGCCCAGGGGCTCTATTTAAGGTCAGTCCTGGGCCTTCAGTCGTTTCCATGCTCTTACCTAGAGAAGTCTCCAGGTAAGAAGGGACAGGCTGCAGCCTGGCCACTCAGTCCCTGTAAAAGTGGGTTTTGATGCTTTGGTTTATCTATTACATTTTGTTGTCAAATGTGCAAAGCAGCAACTTTGTCCTTTCTACTCCCTAAAAGGGAGGGTGACTCCATGGGGTGTATCTTGTGAGGCAAGGGCTGGTCCTCACGTGCATCAGGTGTGTGCTTGGGAGCAGAGACCAGCAGGAGCAGCTTTCATACAGGTGCTTAATAAACCCCTCTATTTCCACGTCCTGCAGCCCAGAGGTTTCCACCTAGACCCCTGCTTTTCCATCATCTTCTTTCTAAGACCAAGTCATTCTACCACTCTGTCTCCTTTGCAGGTGGCAGCAGCTTCTGCCCCCCCAGCTGGGCTCACCTTGGCTGGTTCTTGGTTTGCTGACTCCCCCGGGGTAGACGACGTACACCGAGACGTTGACGTGTCCTCCTGCTGCTGCCTCTGCCAGGAAGAGGTGAGATTTACTTTTCCCATGTGTTTCTCAGCTGCCTCAAACTCCAAGGGCCTGTTGCTGAGTCGTGGTAGCAGGTGGAGGTGGGAGGGTCCCCCCCTAAGGAAAGCCACAGCAGGAGCTGCTCCCAGAAACACGTGGAGGAGCCAGAGCCTGGTCAGGGGCTGGCAAAGAAGCACCTCAAGCCCAACAAGCATTGAGGAGGGAAGAAGGAATGGAGCAGGATGGGTCCTGAGATGTTCAGACTGCACTGGTGAGGACCCACAGGCTTGTCCCTCAGGGCAGGGACAGTGCTCAGCCTTGGTGCATCAGGTGTTGTGTCTTCTCTCTGCATCCTTTAACTGCACACCTGCATCTCCTGCGCTTGGGCAGGTGTCCCTGGACCTGGTGTGGCTTCCCTGCCTGCCAGCTAGCTTGTCACTTCATCCTCCTATCTGCTGGCCTTCACCTGGTGGACCAACCCCACTGACCACCCTCGTCTCCTATTGCTTCACTGCTCCCCAAGGGCTCTGCATGGTCTCACTCTCCAAAAATAAGTGCACAGGGGCTCAACTTCAAATGAAACTCTGCCTTTAGGATGGATTTTGGCTTGCTAATGTCCTGGGGAATTTCATCAAATAGGGAAAAGACTCATGGAAGAGCCTATAGACTCCCAGACTGGTCTGGGTTGGGAGACACTTTAAAGCTCACCTAGTTCCAACCCCCCTGCATGGGCAGGGACACCTCCCACCAGCCCAGGCTGCTCCAAGCCCCATCCAACCTGCCCTTCAACACTGCCAGGGATGGGGCAGCCACAGCTTCCCTGGGCAACCTGGGCCAGGCTCTCACCACCCTCACAGCACAGAATTTCTCCCAGTCCCACCCCTGCATGGGCAGGGACACCTCCCAGCAGCCCAGGCTGCTCCAAGCCCCATCCAACCTGCCCTTCAACACCCCCAGGGATGGGGCAGCCACAGCTTCCCTGGGCAACCTGGGCCAGGCTCTCCCCACCCTCACAGCCCAGAATTTCTCCCTCCCATCTCAGCTCCAGCTCCCTCTGCCAGCTGGAAACCCTTCCCCCTCATCCCATCCCTCCCTGCCCTTGTCCCAAGCCCCTCCCCAGCTTTCCTGGAGCCCCTTCAGGCACTGGAAGCTGCTCTCAGGTCTCCCTGGAGCCTTCTCTTCTCCAGGCTGAACACCCCAACTCTCCCAGCCTGGCTCCAGAGCTGCTCCAGCCCTCCCAGCATCTCTGTGGCCTCCTCTGGACTTGCTCCAACAGCTCCGTGTCCTTCCTGTCTTGGGCACCCCAGAGCTGTTCCCAGCCCTGCAGGGGGGTCTCACTGAGGTGGAGCAAAGGGGGACAATCCCCTCCTTCAACCTCTTACCTTGGATGTATGTGTGTGTCTCCTGGGAAGGGACTTTCTTCCAAAAATACTGCTCCTCCCAGCTGTGCTGGCTGGTGGAGACCCACTCCACAATGAACCAGAGTGGAGACCTCCCTGGGTGGGGTGGGGGCTGCCAGGACACCCGGACCCTGCTCCCGTTCTCAGCCTTCAGCTCCATGGCCACCGGGGCTGGGAACTCTGTGGGGAGACATGGCAAGGGGGGTGTCACCCCAACCTGGCCCCACAGGGCAGCATCTGCTGAGACCTGGAAGGGTTTAAGGGCTGAAGAGGGAACAAGAAATGCTACCAAGTGGTGCATTTATAGATAGATATATACACACACAGACAGATATCTTCAAAATACATAACTAAATATTTTGTATATAAAAATATATATGCAAATATATTTTGATAGTTTTAAAATTATATTAAAACCATCTCTATTTGATATCTTTTGATGAAGCTTTACATCCACCATGTGGCTGGATAATGTCTGTATCTCTTACCTAGCTATATTGTTGTGTGTTTTAATAGGAAAACATGGTCTATAAATCTAATCTTTATGTGGGAATTGATTTATGTAGGTCTAAACCTATTTAATAGGTGTGTGTATATATGTATCTCTGTGCTCATAGACATGACCAAAGCACATCTTCAGTTTTGTCACCTCTTGTCTGAAAGGCTTTCCCTGTCCCTGCTCACAAGAAGGCAGCAGGTTCTGGTAACTATCAAGAGCCCCGAGAAACTCTCTCTTCCCACCTTATTTCTCTTCAGCTTCTTTTCAGTCACGTATTTTGTCCTCCCCTTGCACGGGACTTTCCCCTCCTGCTGCTCGTCACGAGAGATGTTGTTCAAAAATAGGGCAGTGTGGTTGTGGGGGAAGCCACAACCTGTGCTGCAGGGACCCTGAGCTGGCCCTGGAAGGAGGTTTTTTCCTCCCTTTTTGGTTGCGAGGGCCCAGCAGAGCCCTTGCAGGAGCTGTCTGGGGAGCAGGGGGCAGAAAAGCAGCTGCTGCAGGATGGATACTTTCATTTTTAAGCTTGTTCCTGAGGCCTTCAGAGGCTGAGAGCTGCCCCGGGCAGGGACACCTCCCAGCAGCCCAGGCTGCTCCAAGCCCCATCCAACCTGCCCTTCAACACTGCCAGGGATGGGGCAGCCACAGCTTCCCTGGGCAGCCTGGGCCAGGCTCTCATCTCCCTCACAGCACAGAATTTCTCCCTCACATCTCATCTCCATCTCCCCTCTTCCAGCTGGAGCCCCTTCCCCCTGGGAATGTCTCACCTTCCTGGCTGCTGGAGCCCCAGCCCAGGGGGATGCTGGCAGGGCTGGAGGCCCCTCTGGAGTTGTAAGCAGTGACGTGGAGGACACGGGCTCCCGGTGGCACCAGGACATGGCACACAGTGCTGGAGGTGTTGCAGAGGGTCACCCTTCCAGCAGGGCTCTGGGTGGCCACGATGTAGCCCAGGATCCTCCCACGGGCATCCTGGGGTCTCAGGGGCTGCCAACAGAGAGAAGGCAGCCAGTGGGGGGACAGCTGCAGGACAGGTGTCCCCCCTGGCTGGGCAAGGAACTCGTTTTTTGCAGGTATGGAGGGGTTTTGCTCCAAGGACATGTCGGGGTCCCATCATAGAATCATGGTTTGGGTTGGAAAAGAGCTTTAAGACAACCCAGTCCAACTGTTCCCCCAGCCCTGCCAAGGCCACCCCTGCCCCGTGTCCTTGGAAATCCCACTGGGCAGCCTGAGCCAGGGCCTGACAACCCTTTCCAGGAGTAAGTTGCTCTCAAGATCCAACCTAAACCTCTCCTGGTGCAACCCGAGGCTGTGTCCTATCCCTTTTGGCTCTACCTCTCCAGGCAGAGGGCTCTTCAGGAAGAACGTTGCCCTCTGCTGCCCTTGGGTAGCTGATGTTCTCGCGGAGGAGCAGGGTGAGAACCTCTCAGGAGCCACACAAGAGCCACCCTACCTTGATCAAGACCGTCACCTCGTGGCTGCCGTTGGGGAGGGCCGGGCCCAGGCGCCGCCAGACCTCGGGTGCCCTGCCGGGGGCTGCGGGAGGAAGCTGGGCTGAGCATCTCGAGAGGAACCAGCCCTGCTGCTCCCACCCACGCCTTCCATCCACACGCAGAAAGCCTCACGTGGCCGGGGACCCCCCCCCTGGGCTGGCTGCCAAGGGGTGCTCCCTTTCAGCAAGCCACCCAAGGTGGAGAAGCATGTCCTGTCTCTCTTTTTCCTTGCCTGGAAAAAACCTGATGCCCACCAAACCCCCCCTGGTCTCTTCTCCACCCTCCTCCTGCAGCAGCCTCGGGAATCTTTCAAATTCACAAGGACCCGTGGCAGAGCCGGGAGCGCTCGGAGGACGTGAGATGAGTTTGTGGCAGGTCTCAGCCCTCAGCTGCAAGATGGGGATGATGGTGTGGTGGCCACAGCACCCTGGCCAGCAGTGTGTCCACAGGGGTGTGCAGGCACCCACGCCACATTCACACCACCCACGTGTGTGTGTGTGTGTGTGTGTGGGGCTGGCTAACTGGTGGTGTCCAGGGCTCGGGCTGGGTCCCTGTGGGACACCTCAAGAAGGTGATGGGCTGGTGGGAAAGGCTAAGCGGGGCTGAGCTTACCTGCCTCGGGGGTGGTGTAGAGAAAAGGGGGGCTCCAGGAGCTCCAGGGGCTGTGGGCAGGGCTGAGCCGGCACCGCACCTGGAACACGTACCGGGTGTCACTGCGCAGGTCCTGCCGCCGGCGGGGTCCCTGCTGCTCTGCACCATCCCACACCTCCACCTGCAAGGGAAGCAGGGTGCTGGGGGGCATGTGGGACACCCCCCCCCCCCCCCAGCCCCCACAAAGGGGGA